GGACATAGCTGCAGAGGATTAACACCAATACATGATAGGCATTTCAAGTTCCATTAGCAAGATCATCTGTTATTTAAGGTAGGTGCATACACTGATCATAGTCTGATGCCATTCAGTATTTGATTACTAACATTCTCCTTGTTAGTTAATAATTTTGTGCTCATCTAGTGATCTAATTTATAGTTATAACTCACATTTATTGAATATTTACAAATTACCACTCATTTACACATTGTACATATATTATCTCGTTTAGTTCTCACAGGAACCCTGTGAGATGGGTACCCTTGTTATCTCCTTTGTACATAGAAGCACAAAGTAAGTAATGTGCCTAATGGCAGAACTGGGGTTCAGATCCAGGCAAGTCTGCTTCAAGATTGTCTTTTATCCAGAACAACTGTACAGTATTACCTTGGCTTCTCATGTAAATCTGCATTATAGAGAGAGGGTACATTGATCCCATATTCTTTTGATTATGTTTTATCCTGTGACAGTGGTTTTCTAATGGTGGATAATAAAGTGACTTGTGATTATGATTTGGTAGAGGGCCACATTCTGGGATGGGGCTACTTAAGAGAAGTAGTAGCCAGTAAGGATTTTGTGGCCAGTTTCTGGCCTCCTTTGGCCAGGATTTCCCATTATCTTTTGGCACCTCATTGGAGAGTTTTACAAAGTTGAAATCTTGGTGCTCATCTCTCAGAGATTCTGATTTTACTGGTTTGGGATGGGGTCCATGAATCTGTTCTTTAAAAAAAAATCTCTGGCAATTGTGGAGCCTATCTCAGCTTGAGAACCACTGCTTTAGATGACACAACAACTCTATTAATTTGTGCAGCAACCTTGTTCGAATCTAGGAAATGATTAAAGGAAGGATTTCACTTAGTAAGCTTTAGGCAGAAAGTTTCATGATGTTTGCAGTGGGCTAAATTTTAAAATCAGTTAAAAGTATGAAATCTTGATGCCAGGAACCAAATGTTATTGACTTTATGATACCTTGCACAGTGGTTTGGATTTTAGGCCTGGAGCTGCACAGCCTGGTGATGGATGCCATCTCTGCCACACAGCTGGACAACTGTGGGCAGTCCTGAGCAGCCTGCCCAGGCTCTCCAATACTGTATTCCTCATTTACCAAAGGGGGATGGTAGTGTCCATACTACAATCCATACAAAGCCCTGAGCCCAGAGCTTAATATTTGGTTAGTACTCAGTAAATGTTAGCACTTGTTGCTATTTAAGTGTTTTTTTTTGACTAGGGATATCTTTGGTGAGCCTAATTCCCTTTCCGACCCAGGTGTTTCTGTGGCTACAACATCTGTCTGTAGAGTGAGAATGAAGATCCTAATTAGTCTCTATATAGTCTTAACCTAAACTGGGACCTTTTTATCTTGGACCACTTGAGTTAACCAATACAGCAATTGAGCCATTAGAGAGCTGGGCATTAAATCTTTAAGATATTTTAAAACTGTGTTTTATAGCTAGTATAAACCAAATTATAAACTAAGAATCGGGTTTTGTAGTGATGGGTTTTTTAAGCATCTAAGTTAAATCCTCATTTTACTTTTTTTAGTTTTACTGAACTTTTGGCATAGATTTTTCTCAGGTTCTGTCTAATTTGTATAAAGTTGTATTTTATTTAGCAGCTTTTAAAAGCATGTGGGAGATATACTTGAGGTTTTTTTTTTTTTTTTAAGGAATAAAACTCCTTAAAAGGGCTATTTTGTGCAAGATACTCAGTAAAAAAAGAGATCTAATTCTACAATTAGACATATTTAAGGCTCCCAAATTAAGGGGTAAGGCGTTTTTGTCTATATATTGTAGACCTATAGAAATAAAATTAGAAGACAGTGTATCCTATAAGCATGCATTGGTTAAGAAAATGGGCTCTTGATTCAAATCCTGGCTTTCACCACTTATCCCATGATTTTTGGCAAATTGCTGAAGTTCTCTACTTATTTCCTCCATCTATACCTAATAGGATTGTAATGAGGATTAAATTATTAAATCGTGTTGAATTAACTATATGTTGAAGCATTAAAGATGGTGCCTGGTACATAAACCCTGTTAGTGTTAATGATTATGATGGCAGTGGTGACAACCTGCACCAGTCATCTGAACAAAAATGAAAGTTAGAGTAAAAATATTATATTTCAGCATCATAAAATTTTCTTTCTAAAACTATCTGGAAAAAAATTTAAGAACAAGTTTTTGGCCTTAGCCTCTGGAAAAAAAAAATGTTTTTAATTCTTTTAAGGTAATGCTTAATGTAATGAGATAAATTCCTGCGCCCTATGGGATGGCTTGTCTGTATTGTTTATGTGGTGGTCAGATTTAATAGAGATGCTAAAGATGTTTTAGGGGGATGGTATTTCTACATAACGTATCAGAATTTAGGTTTTCTGTAATGAAAAAGACTAGATTCAAGTCTCTGTGCTGCCATTCATCAGAGTAGACAGGTTACCTGGCCTGTAGGAACCTTTTCTCTGCAAAAGTAGAATAACATAGTGTCTCAAGTGTTGTGAAATATAAATTCACCTCCCTATGGGGCTTTCTTCCTCTAGAACAGCACTGTTCAGTAGAAATAAAATGTGAGCCACCTGTGTAATTTAAAATGTTCTAGTTGCCACATTTTAAAAAAATGAAAATAATTTTAATATTTAATCCAATATGTCTAAAATATTCTCATTTCAACATGTAATTAAATAAAAAATTGAGATGATTTTTTCATGCTAAGCCTTTGAAATCTGCTGTATTTTACACTTATAGCACATCTCAACTTGAACTAGCAACATTTCAAGTGCTCAGTAGCTACATGTGGCTAGTAGCTACCATATTGAACAGTCCAGATCTAGAATATAGATTATTAGTCTCTGCCAGCACCCTTGGGCACTGGTGCTGCCTTGGCCTCAAGCAATTAACACAGCCTTACTCTTGAAACTGTGTATCTCTGGATGGACCAGCTTTAAATTTCTTTGGCAACCTAGATTGGTATCTTGGCCCCTGGGAGGACAGGCTCTTCCCCTCAGCCTTTTGGCTCACCCAGATGAGGACGTGCTCTGGGCATATTACATGCCTCTCTATTTGGAAAAAGCTGATAGACAACCAGGAATTCCTGAACCCCTTGAGTATGATAAACCTTTTGAATCAGAAGGATCAGCGCTCCTAAATATAAAGAGCAGTTAGAAATATGAAATCAGAGCTCCAGGACAGGATCAGATTTTGTAATACCTCTTCATTCTTGCTTCTAATCTGTCCTTTTTTGCCTTCTTTCTGAAATTTCAGAGACTTATCTAGTGTCCTCGAGAAAAGAGCAAAGTACCCGCAGTCTTCTAAAGGAATTCAGCTTCTCTGTCCTCCAACTCACGGGGCTTAACAGGGCAATCCTCCCTTCCCAAACATTATTTTGACTTTTTAAAAGACTTTTAGAACCTTTTGGGGCCAAAAGATTTGGAGGACAGAGGATATATTCATATCCGACTTTTTTATTTTTATTTTTAAGGTTATCTCATAATTGTCTTTCATCCAGATTTTGAGAGAATTGTAGTGGAGTGATACCTTAATAGCTGTATGTAATGGTAAAAGAGGTAGAGAATATTGGATTCAAGTGTACTTAAACAATAAAAAATATGCTCAGATGTTACCTTCTTAAAGTCTTAACCTTTGTCGCTCTCTAGAATAGCTACTAGCCCCAAGCACACTCTATCTTTTTTAAAAAAATCTTATTACTAAAATCCTTTGTTTGCCTTTCCAAATAGAATATAAGCTCCATAAGGGTATGGACTTCGTTCTGTTTACTTCTGCATCCCAACTCCTAGTACAGAATCTGGCCCTCAGTAAACATCTATTGAATCAATGAAAGAAAATACTAAGATATCATTTATATGTATTAATGATTTTAATATTAGCTACCTAGTAGAATTCTTATTCTTCCCTGACCATTGTTGCTGTGATCAGTGTATGTAATACACTTGAATTTTCAGACCTAATCTCAGTGAAAGGAATCCCTTAGTGTTTGTTTACTCTTGCACAGTAGTTTAAACTTTTACTTCTTTTAGTTAGTGTGAGGCATGAGGAGGAGGGAAAAAGTAGTTTGTAAATGGAATTGTAAAAGGAAGTTGGGGGAGCTGATCTTTATTTTTAGATTATATAGCGTAATAAAATGGAGGGGGGATTATTGGGATAGGGAATTGGATTGAAAAGTTTTTATAGTTCAGGCGCTGTAAATATGTCTAAGGTTTGGGGGCAAGACAGTTGACATAGTAGGTAACAAGCTTAGGGAAAAGGCAAGAGAGATTCATAGATTAGTATTTGGAAGAAACGTAGGTATATAAGCTTCTGGCCAAAAAATTCACAAACCATATTTCTATTTGTTTAGAATCTTTATTTAAAATCTTAATTTCCTTTGTCAGTTTCTGTCATTTGTCCAGTTTACCTCTCTTGCCTTTCTACCAGCTCGATGCCACTACCACACTTTATGTCCCATGAAATCATGGGACCTAGAAGCACAGACTCTTCATACTCCTCAAGGGCTGGAAGTTCCGTTGTAACTCCTGGTTTGTCCCAAGAGCACCCTGCCAATAAAAAGTAGTCCAAACATGTTGAAAACTCAGATTTTTAAAAGAACTATTTATTTTGCATTCAAGTAAATTTCTAGCAAAAGAAGTAAATGCAGACTTATCAATTTTTACCTTTTTAGGTCCTACTTTTTTAAATGAGAAAAATCTGTTGTTTCATGTAAATGAACTAGCTTTTTTTTAATAGTCATATGAATAAGTTATTTGGTTTGTGAATATATTTAAGAAAAACAATAAGCAAAATGGTAAAAATTTTTATATTTGTTTTAATTGGGATTTTTTTTTTTAGTGTTACAATTTTAAGGTTTTATAAAGTTTGATTAAAGAATGGTACTCTACCTGTAGTAGATAATTTTTAAGGACTACTTCTAATTTTATTCAGTTTAAGTTCAAATGATGCATTTTAACCTAACATCTTCTTTCTTCTTAGTCTGTAAGACTTGTATTGTCCAGCACTTTGAAGATAGCAATGATTGTCCAAGGTGTGGCAATCAAGTTCATGAGACAAATCCATTAGAAATGTTGAGGTAAGTAAATGTATTTTGTTGCTTATTTAACTTGAAAAAATTACATAAATGCTTACTTTTTATTATGCATCATAATATTTGTTGGTACCTTGACTCAGTTAATTTAGGTTTTATGAATTTAGGGTATTAAGAGGGATTGAAAAAATAAGGGTATACATGTTAAATACCTCAGGCTCTCACAGTTCCTTTAATTGTAGTTATTTTCAGCATTTTAATATTTTACACAGTACACTACTTCGTTGAGCCACATGACAGTGGGAGAAGAGCAGACCTGATAGCGAGGGGGACTAATCCTGGTACTATTAATTTTTTTTATATATTTAAAAAAGAGTACCTAAATATTTATGTAAAACTTACACAGTTTTTAAAAATGACTACTATTTACTTAAGTCTAATCATATTTTTAAGGGTGGAAGTAATCCGTAAGATTCTAATCCGAACCCTTTTTTCCAGATTAGGAAATTGAAACTTATCATGACTTTGCCTAATGTCTCAGCAAACTCAAATGTTACTTCCCAGCTTTAAGTCAGGTGTCCTCACTAAACCTGTTTTCTTCCCATTGTTCCTACTAGAGCTCTATCACAGACCAACTATGGGGTCTTAGGGAAGTACACATCTAAAAACAGAACTAGATATTCTCTAGATAACCTTATATAACATTTCTGTGTGATGTTTGCCATCATTTTATAAATCTGGATTCGCCGGTCTCATTTGGTGGAAATGTAGTTGCCTGTAGTTGGAGTAATTTATCTACAGGTAAATGTGCAGCCCAGTGGTTTTCAAAGTGTGGTCTCCAGACTATTAGTTAGAAATGACAGTTCTCAGATCCGCTGAATAGGAAACTCTGAGAGTGGAGCCCATCTTAATTAGCAAGACCTCCAGATACTTCTGATATGTGCTGACATGGAGAACCATTAGTCTGCTGTTGTCCATAGTCCTGAACAAGGCTGATGCTGGTTGGATTTATGTCAGTACTTCTCAGCCACTGGTGATTTTGCCCCACAGAGTACGTTTTGCAAGATCTAGAGGCACTTTTTATTATCAAGGCTGGGTGGGTGCTGCTGGCATCTAGTGGATAGAGGCTAGGGATGCTGGATGCTGTTGAACATCCTACAAGTCACAGGACAACTCCGCCGTCCCCAAGATTCAGCCCAAAATGTCAGTAGTGCTGAGGGCAAGAAACCCAGGTTTAAATAATTCAGAGAAGAACAAAGCAAACTTTTCCTATCAAATCTTTTCCTGATGTATTTATCAAAAACTGTAACAAACGGTAATTATTACCTATTAAATGCTATATTGTAACAAATTGTCTTAACTTTTGTTTTAACTGTTGGAATCCAGTCACTATTTCATCATATCTAATCCCATGGCTAAAGTATATATTTTAAAATTTTTTATTTAGAAATAAAAACTCCAAAAAATCAAAAATAAAAATATAAGGGACACTTCTATTCTTTTTACCCAGATTAGCCTATTGTTAACATTTTATCTCATTGCTTTATCTTAATGCTTGCATGTTGGCTCTATTTTTTTCTGAACCATTTGAGGGTATGTTACATACATCATCACCCTTATCCTTAAATACTTTAATATATATTTCCTAAGTCTAGAGATCATCTTACATAACCATAATACGATTACATTGGTATACTTTACCCTCCATATTCCAGTTTTGTTAGTTTATCTAATGATATCCTTTATAAATTATTTTCCTCCTATACCACTAAAATTACTGCAAAGGGATTTTTTAAAAGTCAAAGTCACAGAGATAATAAAAACAAGAACTTCAGTGTTCCAGGCACCTAGGATAACTCCTGGAACATAACAGGTTCTCAATAAATACCTGATGAAAGGATGAGAAGTGATGGTAGCAAAAATGAAAACTAGAGATAAGACTGATGGTAATGATGGCTGACCTAAGTATAGTAGGAGATGGCAGGGGAGGATCTTTACCAAAGGCTTTCTCTTATTGACCTGGCTTTGTTTTAAAAGGATCATTTTGGTGACCATGTTGAGAATACACTGCACATAGCAAGGCAGGGGCAGAAACAGGGAGAACAGTTAGAAGGTAATCGCAGTGGTCTAGGTAAGAGATGGTAGCAGTAAAAGGAGCAAGAGATAGGCATAACCTGAATACAGTTTGAAGGAAGATCCAGCAAGATTTGCTGATGGATTGGATATAAAATGTGAGAAAAGAGTAGAGCATGACTCTAAGCTTTCTGACCTAAGCACCTCGAAGAATGGAGTTGTCATTAACTAAGATAGGGAAGACTAAGAATAGAGCAGTTTGGGGGAGAGGTAGCTTGGGAGTTTGGTTTTGGACATGTTGAGTCTGTTAATCATTTCAGAGAAGAAAGTTGGCAGGTGGGTATACAAGCCTGTGATTCAAGGGGAGAGAGCTGAGCTGGGAATAAATATTTGGTAGTCTTCAGCACATAGAACATATTTAAAGCTGTGAGATGGGATGAGGTCACTTGAGTGAGTAAAGAGAGAGAAGAGGACCAAAGATTGGGCCCTGGAGCATTCCAACAGTGAGAGATCAGGAGAGGAGGAGTAACCAGCAAAGGAAACTGAAAAGACGTAGTTAGTGAAGTAGCAGGAAAGTCCAGGAGTGTGTGGCTTGGAAGAGAGTGTATCAAAGAAGAGGCAGTGATCATCTGTGTTAAATGTTGTTTAAGAGTCAAGTTAGGTGAAGACTGAGCATTGAAGGTTGGATTTAGCGACCTTTTATCGATCTTGACAAGAGCACTTTCAGGAGAGTTGTGAGGCAAAAACCTATCTGGATTGTTTCAAGACAAAGAAACGGAGAAGAATTAGTAATACTGAGTATAGACAACTCTTTTAAGTTTTGCCACAAATGGGAACAGAGAAATGGGGTGGTAGCTGTTAGGGAAGTACAGTCAAGAAGACTTCTGTTTTGTTTTGATGTGGGAGAAATCTGGCATGTTTGAAGGAAATGATCCAACAGAGAGAACAGCATTAATAATGGAGAGTGGTGTGTGGGGCGGGGAGGGATTGCCGAAGCCACGTCTCTGAGTAAGTAAGAGGGGATGGAATCTAATAGTGCGCGAGGAGAGATAGGCTTTATATAAGAGCATTGACAGATCACCTGTGTCAACAGGCGGGAAGGCAGAGTATACTGGGGTGCATGTTATAGGTATGGTCAGAATCCGGAAGTTTTTCACTGAGGATAAAATGTTTATCAGACAAGAGTAAGGATGAAGAAAGGGAATGTAGGGGTTTGAGGAGAGAAAGTGTTTTGATCAGGAAAGTAAGAAAATAAATGGACTGCGGAAGTGTGGTATAATTCCTGGCAACCTTAAAGGCACATTTGGGTTGTAGTTATGAATTTGAAGGGGTGTGGTTGTGTTCTTTTCCAGCCATGAGTGAAAGTGCAGAGCTAACAGTTGGATTAAACTAGAGCTGTGGTGGTACCAGATCATATCGAGCAAGTGAGAGAGGGACAAAGAGAATCAAAGGTACATGCAAGGATGTGGCTTTAATGACTGACCATGGAGTAAATCAGTCCTAATAAACTAGTGAGGAATGTCTCAGAGGAACAAATAAAACTGGTTCATTTCTGATCTGTTTGTAAATAGAAGAAATTCTTTTAGAGAATTAGAGAATAAGTACATAGAAAATGAAGAAAGCAATTACTAATTCCAGAGAAAGAAAAAAGCTGAATGAGGAGATATCTATAGTCATAGCACACTGTGAATATTTATATAATCATAACCATGTAAACAATGGTTATTAAACAAAAAAAATGATAATACTATATCAAGAAGATGAGAGTAGGGAAAAAGTGTATGTTGGAAAGAAAGAGATGGCAAGATGATAACAGAACTAAAACTTTATATTCCATAAAAGGAAGTCAGAAAAATCTAGACTGCAAAAACGTGGCTTTGTTTTACACACACACACACACACACACACAAAAGTAAGAGAAGAAACAGGTTGAATTTGAAAGTGGTTGACTCTGGGGTAGTAGGAATCAGGAATAGGGAAGGCAGGGCATAAGAATGTATTTTAATGTAAGTTTTATAGAGAAGTTTGATTTTTAAATTATATATGTCTATTATTACCTTGATTAAAAAAAAAACAAGAAATACTTTTAAGTGCTACTACTATTAAATCTAGGGAAACTGAATAAGTTAGTATTTAAGTCTTGAAGAATAAGGTAACATTGGTTTGGTCGGAAAGTAGAAAGATTGTTACAGAGCACGAGGGAGAGAAACAGACTGGGAAAGACAAAGCATTCTTAGGGATAATGGACTAAGCTGGTTGGCTAGTGAAGAGAGATAATAAGAGAATAGCACCAGTTATGGTCTGTAGGTTGGAATCAAGTTATATAAAACACTTGAAGCTAGGTTGTGAGAAGTGAGTTCTTGAACAGACAAATAATGATGAAATTAGTGCTTAAAGAAGATTCATTATGAGCATGTCAAGTTAAAGGAAAATAGCTCTGTGCTATTCTCTAAGGTGGTAACTGAGGAAATGGAAGGATGCAAAGTGTGGAAAGAGTAGGTGGAGGAAATATTGAGAAGGAGCTGTTAGTGGAGTTTGGTGAGTAAATGTGTGGAGAGAGAGCTGGGGGAGAGAAGTGGGTGTTAAGATATTCTTGCATTTTAAACCTGTTTGAGAATGATATGGTATTTCTAAATTTAATTTTTAAAAAGACAGGTATTCAGTATTTTGTTGGAGGATGAATGAGATAGTGTTGACAAAGATGAAGTCAAGGAGTTGCTTGAGATATTTAGCATCTGTTGAAAATATGAAACTTGAACTCAGCAGAGGGGTGTAATGTGTGTGTATGTAATGTATATAAGTTATCTGCCTGTGTGACATCACAAAGTGGATGAGATCCTCAAAGAAGGTAGCCTGCAGAAAAGGTCAAAAAGTGCAGAGCAATGGAGGATATTCAGATTTAGAGGTAATTGGAAAAAGAAAAATATTTAGGACAAAGAAAGTAGATAGAAAAAAGAAAAGCAGGATAGGAAATTTTAAAAGAGGTTGTGTTAGACAGCACTGTCACCTGCTGCAGAGTGATATTGGAGAAACGTGACATTTTAAAATTATAAAAAATTGTTTAAACCTATTCAGTTATGATCCAGAAAGTTATGGATGACTTAGAGAGTTCAGTAGAGTAAACTGAACTCTGTTTGTGACAGAAATAATGTTGATTATGCTTTCAAAGATTTTCCAATTGGAAGAAAAGATTGAGCTTGAAAAGATAGGTTAAATAAAAGTTGCGTTTTTTAACATGAGGAAACTGTACATGTTTGTAGTCAAGAGAAGAGTAATGCTGCTGAGCAGAATGAAGGAGATAGAAATGTAATGCGATTGAAGAAATGAAAGCTATGAAGAGAGTTACACTCTCATACAGCAGGAGAAGAAAACAAGAAGAATGTCAAGATAAATATTTACATTTTTTATCTAGGAAGATACAAGGACTAAATGGTTTAAATTTCTCAGAAGAAAGGAACGGAGATTATTTCCTTTATAGGAGAGAGCCAGAGTTGTAGAGATTTTGAGAGTGGGTGTATCAGCTATTGGTGCATAACCTACCACCCCTAAATTCACGCTTAAAACAATAAAAGCATTTCTTATTCCTCACAAGATGTATGGTTCACAGATCTAGGTGGTTCTTCTGGTCTTGCTAGGGTCACTCATGCGACTGCAGTTAGCTGCTGGTTGGATAGGATGCTCCGCTGATCTCAGCTGGGTTGTCGTTTTGGGGCTGAGCTGTGAGTGAACTAGTCTGAGGTGGCCTCAGCAGGGCAGCTTGGCTCTCTTGTGCATTGTGTCTCATCCTCCAGACTTGTTCTCATAGTTGGCAGGGTTCTAAGAAAGAGTGCACAAAAGCTTGTGATACCTCTTAAGGCTTATGCTCAGAACTAAGCACAGTGTCACTTGTGACACATTCTGTTGGCCTAAGCACTTTTCAGGGCTAGCCCGTATTCTTGGGTGAGAAGATAGACTCCATTCCTTAATCAAGAGGGGAATTCAAAGTCATGTTCAGAGGGTGTAGATAGAGGGAGAGCTGGGGACAGGACCATTTTTGTAATCAATCTACCACTGTAGGAAAGGCTAGAAATCGGTGTGCTCTGTGTGCCGAGGAGTTTGGTATAGATGTGCTGAAACTATGCATGTTCTATGTTTTGTAATACATGTCAGATAAAGATCTCAAACTGCTTTTACATTGGATTTTGATGTCTTCATTGTTAGCATATTCTCTTTTCCCCTTTGGAAGGTTGGATAATACATTAGAGGAAATCATATTTAAACTGGTCCCTGGACTACGAGAACGTAAGTTGCTCCTTGGCTTCTTGCATGTTTCTATGTTTTATGAAATCAACATTGCTATTAAGTATTTCATGATTGTTTCTATTATTTTCATACTTCTTTTTTTTCTTTTAAATTAGAAGAACTTGAGCGTGAATCTGAATTTTGGAAGAAAAATAAGCCTCAAGAAAATGGACAAGGTGACTTTTTCTTACATCTATATGATGGCATCTCAGATTGCTCAGCTTTTGCTAGCTTTGGTGAACTCATATCTCTATTCATGTTCAAATTTCTCCTGTACAAAATTAATGTACTCTTTTATTTATATTATGAACCTTTCTCTTAGGAACCTTTATATAACATCTTAAGATTTCTATAAAATCTTAAGATGTTATATAAATGTATATAAATCTGGAGTCACTCCATTGAAGGTGATTGGAAATAGAAGAAATTGAACTTTGGGAAGAGAAAAAGGAGATAAAACAGAAAACCAACTACTAATTATAGCAGTATTTGCTAGAGAGCTAAAGGAAACTGAAGTAAGAAATAGCCAAAACTAAACAGCGGGGGTTTTGTTTTGTATGTTTGTTTGAATAGGAGAGGGAAGTGAGATGTGGCTGAGAGCATAGCAAGAGGATCTTGGAATGAAGTTTTCATAGGTGGAGCTCAGGTGACACAAATTTTTATATACCCTGGAATTTGAAAAATATTTCTAGGTGATTATGGGAATTTTTCCCATCACCAGTGCTAAGTGTCCAAATTTCTCTTCTGGGTCCCAAGAGACCCAGCAGTCAGTAAATTTTTAATAATCTCAGCAAAGTGATAAACCTTACTGAACAGAAAAAAAAAGGCTTTTTGTAAGTATATAATTCACCTGAAATTATAAGGAAGATAGTATTCTTTTCTCTTGTTAATCCGAGATTTCAAGATGGCCTAAATACCTATATACCACTGAAATATTTCAAAGATATTTGTGTGTTTTTATAGGCTCACTTGTGAGCTTACTCTCCTGCCCCTGGTTTTCCCAAAAGATCATAGGTTTGTCAGTCTTACCTCATTCAGATGGGTGAGAAAATGCTCTTTCTCTTTTCATCTGTAAAATGGGGATCATAGTCTTACTAGTTCAACTTAACTGTACAGGGCTGGCTTCCTATAGTGGGGAGGTTTGAGAATAGTTTTGAATAACTGGGATAAGATAGTAAGGGATTATTTTTGACCTAAAAACAACAAAATGGGCAAAGAATCCAAGCCTGACAAAAAATGACTTAACTAAAGGCTTGTTTTATCTAAGTGTAAATTATAATTTAGACAGTAATGCTATAATAAAAACATAATATAAAGTTGACTAAATGTTCCAATTTTTGACTACCTTTTCAAGAGGACAGGAGCCCAGGAGATTGTCATCAGAAGCTATATGGTAGGTTTAGTCCATGACTCTTAAAGACTTGTGAAGGACTGTAGCCTACTTTATCTCCCTTTTCCCATTACTTCTCACTTTTTAAAGTATTTTATAATATTTGGTCTTTAGTTTGAGTGGAGAATTTGGATATTTTCTTGGAGCTGGGAGTTCGGTTCATAAAAGGCAGCTCCTGTTTATGTGGGTTCCATATAAATATGTATAAGAATACAGAAGAAAGAGAATCCATCTGGTTTTTATGATACAACAGTCATTGTAGAGGTGCTAACCTGTCTTTTTTTTTCCTGGGCTTTTCTATACTGCAATGCTTGGCTGGCTAATTCTTTCAAGTTTTAGCTTAGAGATATTTTATCTGGAAATTTTTCCTGAATCTGCTTCACCCCATAGTTTGGGTTTATTACCTCTCATATATGCCCACATAGTCTATTTTACTTCTTCCATCAAAGGCCTTATCCCACTTCTCCATCTGTTTTCTTTACTTGCCTGTATCCCCTCCTATACCCTGACTACTATTAGGGTAAGAATGATAACACTCTAGTTTTAATATTGTTCCCGCAAGCCTAGCACGAGCATGTCTAACAGTTAAAGGCACTCAATAAATGAATAAATCAACAAATATAGTTGCATTATGTGTAGGCTGCAAGTATTTCGTAGATTAAATACATTTAGATATATATTATTCAGATTTCTTAAATGAAGTTTTAACATGTTATATAGATATGTATATGTTAAAAAAAGCTAATTCATTCTACTCATTATCTTTCACTAGCTGATTTTATGAATAATATTTGAAGTTTTATGAACCTAAAGAGAATATTTTATAATTTGTAAAGAGTACTTAGTTTTTAGTTTGAATATATAGAGAATTTGGAAGTATTTTTACTTCCAAATTCTCTATATATTCTCTATAGACAGGAAGTATCCTGTCTACCTTCTAAGTAATCTAATCATTAATTGCAGTTATTTTTGTGTAGCTGGTCCTAAATCTTTCATTGGATGTCCCAGTGAGCCAAAACATCTTAGGCTATGTTAATAAGTCACAGATGGTTTTTAAAAAATATTTTCATTGTTGGGCGGAACATTTTAAAGGCACTAAAATTTTCAGATATTCTTTATCAAAAACTGTTGAGAAATTTTTTAAAGTTGATTTTTGTTTCAATGATTAATTACTGTTACTTAACTTTAATATAAACTTTGAGTTATATCTAGTTTTGTTTAAATTGTACAGATGATTCTTCAAAAGTTGACAAACCTAAAGTAGATGAAGAAGGTGATGAAAATCAAGATGATAAAGACTATCACAGAAGTGACCCACAAATTGCTATATGTCTAGATTGTTTACGAAATAATGGACAATCAGGGGACAATGTAGTAAAGGTGAGTGGACAAGTACAGCTGTATATTTTACAGTAAACTTTTGATAATTTGTTGATGAATTTTCCTAATGTTTCAAAACATTTGCTTTCAAAATTTATTAACATCAAGTAGAGTGCCATTCTCTGACAGTCCCCTACCTAGAAATGGCCAAGCAATTGCTTACTCCAGGCACCGGATTTCCAGCCCCCACAACTGAACCGTCCTGGGTCAATGCCACCACCTAGTGGCTACTGCAAAGAATCACACCTCTATTTTTCCTCTCCACCTCCTTTTATACCTTTGTTGGGAGTTCATAGCCTTTGTATTTCCAAGTGTGATATCCAATTCAGATCATTTCATGTCTCCAACCCTTTTATTCCTCCTCTTCTAATTTGTCCTCTACTTCTGTAGTTTTATTTGCAATTCAAACTATTCATGCCATGGCTGATATATTTTATGAATAATATAATTGGTTATGAAATAAAATTAGATGTCATGAAATCCTTGAAGGCTCCTAGATTTTTCTATAGAATTTCCTTTTCTAATCCTGTTTTTCTCTAACTAAACCTTTTTGTAAAAGATCTCTATGCTAGAGAGTTTAAAACACCCTTATTTTCTTTGGTCTTTAAATGGTGTTAAATATGTCTTTTTTTTATTGCAAGCAACTTTTGTTTTCATTATAAATGTTCACTACTTTACCTCTTTAGGTTTTTGTCACGTTGTCCTAGCCAATGTCAGCCATTGAGAATACTCTTTCTCTCTTTGTATTCCATATTTTATTCAAATGCCTATATTCAGTGTCTCTTTTACTTCTTCTTTGTAATCTGTAAGCCAATGGATTGAATTTTTACAATACATTTAACGACATTTTCCTATTGGGAAATTAAAAACAACTTTTTAACTCAACGAACTTTGGTGAGGTCTTAAACAGTTGTAATAAGGTAATTGATTTAGTTAATAGGAGTTGGTTGGACACAGCATGTAATAAAGTGCAGCAATCTTTAGAGAAGTGGCCACTGTACCTATGTGTCTTCCCAGGCTTCTCTTTTTTATGCTCTGGTAGAGCACCCTTTTTTTGTCTTTTCATCGGGGTTTTTAATAACCTTATATTTTTCTCTTATTACCAATCATTTCTGTAATTCCCTTTTGGGAGCTTCTTAGAGGTTGTGATCATCCTTTAGCTTTCTAATACATGAGTTATTATCTTGTAGCGAAAATTAATAGAAAAGCTGAATATCTTTATAAATGTAAAGTCTACTTCTCTGCAGAATTTCTAGTTCGAAAGTTATAAAGTATTGAATTTTAGAAATTCATCTGAAAATTAACTACTCCTTGATATTCTCTTATTTTTGACATCTTTGACATTTCATCATTACAGTCGAACTTTTATCCATTTACTCTTTCTTTTATAGACTTTTGTTCATTCTTAAAACAACTTTCATAGCTTGTATGACTTCTGCTATCCCACCCTGATTCTCACTTTTTCTCTCCGGCTGTTCCTACTCTGTCTCCACTTCTTCCTGTTTTCTACTTGATACATGTGAGTATATTCAAATACTTAGTCCTTCACTCAATTATTCTTTCTTTATCCTAGAGGTCACTTCATTTTTTTGTGGCTTTTATATCTCTAACACTTGAAACTTCACATGTTTACATCCTGTACTTTACTGCAAACATGCAATTTCAGGTATCACTACTATGTTACAACCCGTCATACAAGTTCAAAATCTTGGAGTCATCTTTGACCTTTTACTCTTTCTCTTCAATCTGTCATAAGTCCTGTAAACTTTCTAGTGCTGTTCACATCTAGATTTTAAAAGCAGTTACTTAAAGTTCTCTGTACTTTTTTTTTTTAATCCAAGGCTGAAGCCACAGCCTGAATGCCTGCAAGGCAGAGGGTGAGGGCCAGAGTCAAAGCCAATATCAGAGTCAGACGGTAAATATTATAGGCTCTGTGGGCCATATAGCTTCTGCTGCAACTACTCAGCTTATTCAGTGTAGCCCTAAAGTGGCCATAGATCATAGTGAGTGTGAGCTGGCATGTTTTGTGTTCCAGTAAAATTTACTTACACAAATAGATGGCCATCCAGATATAATTGCGAGGTGTAGCCATAGTTTGCGACCTTCTGGCCTATAGGATAATGTCTTAACTCCTTATATTAGCAATCACTAACTAGCCCCTATCTTAAATTTATCTCCCATTATACCCATCATTGAACCCTCCTCTCAAGACAAATGATTATTGCTTTATATGAGTAACAACATATATATATAGGGGGCACTAGTATCTGACAAAGTACTTGCATCCAGAATGTAGAAAGGCTTGTATTAAGAGTATTTAAAACCCTCTCAAACTTTGAACAATCTTTTGCTTTTGGGCACGTCCTTCCCTCTTCTCACCACTGTCTTGTGGTTCTGTCAAGACCCAGAGACCTCTACTTTTGTGATGCCTTTTTCCACCCTAGTGAATACCTTCTCTGAAATTCTGTAGGACTTGCATTTCTCATTTGATTAGAGCTTAATTTGTTATTTATTAGATGAGAATTTATTGTGTTTTTGAAGATACCAGGCACTGATGCTCTTTTATCTTTTTTGGTATTATCTTGTTCTTGAAACATGATTATAAACCCCTTAAAGAAAGAAAAAAAATGTCTGTGTTTCTTTATAGCCTCCTCAGCCATCTCATTCCTTTGCAGTAGAATGTGATTCTCAAATATAGTCGTGGAGTAGTCACATGGATAGTTCATGCAGTATACATACTACTTTTGTAATTCAAAAATAAAGACTTCTAAAAATTTGCTTCTCCATAAAAAAAAATGAAAAAAAAAAAAAAAGAACTGGCAACAACTTCCAAAATCAGCTTTTTTTGAATTCTAATAATTAACCAACGGCTTACAGAAACCTATGGAGCATTTATCCAAAAACAACAACAACAACAACAACAACAACAAAAAACCCTGACTTTTTCGCATTTTAACTTGCCTTAGTCCCATTCCCCACTCTGCAGTAACCTTGAAAAACAGCCCACATTCCCGGTGTATCCTCTCTGTACCAAAAGGACAGAACAGAGGTGGAGTTCTTTCAAAGCCTAATTGCCAAATTTTCATTATTTGACCTGTGGTAGTAACTGAAATACCCAATTTACAAGGCAGTTTATATTAGACCCGACTTGGAACTGTCCTAGTGAAAAACTTTCTCTTTAGGCAGGTGGGGAGTGTGGGGAGGAGCATTTGTCAAAACCAATTACAGACAAGTGTTTTTAACTTCATGACTGCCTGAGGTAATAACATTTGGGGCAAACAATAGACACAACTAAAGAGCTTAAATGGAAAAGCTGCAGAATGAGATGTCTATAGATATCAAAGCCTATAGAGGCTTTGAAAAGCTCTGATATATTTCTGGGAATGTAGAGGGCATGCTCATACACAGGGCTGTGTATATGCTCAGGAAAGACATGAATAAGCTCTCACCTCTGACTGACCTTGAGGCTTTGCACAAGCAGGACATGAAAACTAAGAGTTGTCAACAACCTGATTTAATGTTAGAGGTGTTCCCCAAAACACATACTGAGTCTCTCAGCAAAGAATGGGAGACTTATTGGTTCCAAGTGTATGAGGAAATCTCTGTTCAGTCATTAGCCAGTCAGTAGGTAAAAACTTCAGTGGCCACATACTATAAAGAATACAGAGTTGACACAATTAGTTTAGGTAAGTCGTTAAACAAAGAGAAACAAGAAATAGCTACCACAATAGACCATGAAAGGCCAGCGGGAATCTGATTTTCAAAAGTTATCACATTATTTTAAATGTTCAGTTTTCAACAACAAAAAAAATGTGATACAAATAGAAACAAGAAAGTATAGCCCATATACAAGAAGTAGTCAGTAGGACTGTCTCTGAAGAAATCCAGACGTTGGACTTACTAGATATAGATTTTAAATCATGCATTTTAAATATATGCAAAGAACTAAAATCATGTCGGAACATCTAAACGAAAGTACAAGAACAATCTCACCAAATAGAACATATTAATAAAGAGACAGATTATTTTTTAAATATTCTGGAGTTGAAAAATATAAGAACTGAAATAAAAAATGCACTAGAGAGGCTCAGCAGCAGATTTGAGTCATAGAAAAAGAACCCAAAACTTGCTGAGATTATTCAGTTTGAGTAACAGAAAAGGAATGAAAAACAGACAGATCTTCAGAGACCTATAGGACATCATCAGGCTTACCAACCTACACATAATGGAAATCTCAAAAGGAGGAGAAAGGGGCAGAAAATATAATTGAAGAATGGGCTAAAACTCCCCAAATTCGACAAAAACATTAACCATCTAAAAGCTTAACAAACTTCAGATATGATAAAATCAAATTCATAGCAAGACATCAAACCAAACTATTGAAAGACAAAATCTTGAAAACAAAAAAGATATGACTCATCACTTACAAGGGATCACCAATATTAGCAGCTGATTTCTCATCAGAAGCTAGAAGCCAGATGGGAGTAGGATGACATACACAGAGTACTGAAAGAAAAAAAACTGTCAACCAAGTATTCTATGTCCATCAAAAATCTATATATTTAAAAGGGGAAAAGAAAATATAATGCCAGATAAACAAAAACTATCACTATGAGACCTTCTCTGCAAAAAATAATGAAGGGCATTCTTCAGGCCTAAATGAAAGGACAGTAGGCCGTAACTCAAATCCACATTAACAAGTAAAATGCACTGGTAACGGTAAATATAAAAGACAAAAATAAATGTATTTGTAACTTTTTTCTGAGGAGGGAGGTAGGTGGCAGAACAGAGCTATATAGGAGCAAGTTTTTGTATACTATTAAAATTAAGATAGTATTAATCTGAACTAGATTTTTATAAATTTAGATGTTAATTGCATTCCTCAGGGAAATCACAAAAGAGTAACTTGAAAATATATAGGAAAAGAAATAATAGGGCTATATAGCAGAATCTAAGGAAAAGAACAAACTAATTAAAAGTAGACTCACAAATATAGAGGA